GCCACGAAGGGAGGTCAAGTCTTGTGCCTGTGGCGATCATGTCGTGGCCAAGCCGCAATCGACGACGGGCCATGCAGCAACGGAGCTGGAATCAGTAGTTGTCATCTAGTTGTGGCAAGTAACAGTGACCTTGAACTCAATCGTGTGTACCTTGACTTCAGAAGATGTAGTCGATGTGTGCCCTTGTACGGAACTGTCAAATTCAAGAATGGCAATTGAACATGGACTCATGGAAACAAATAACCTGTCAAATATGTAATATAACCTGTTGAAAACACATACCCTAAACACAGATTTTGTATGCATGTTCCCATACTTTAACTAAGATAAAATGTCGGCTCTTAAATTGGCACGCGAAAAAATACTACTTCGGCTTACAAAATGTTGATTTGAACTCCCTTCATGCCCTCAAAATTCAATACGAATGGTCCAGACACCTAGTCCTGCAATTCAGCATCACGAGACAAGTTTCAGAATTGGCTGGTGATTCCTTGATCACCAGATATGCCCCGTTGAACGAACTCAACCCTTCAAAAAGCTTCAGGCGGCTCTTAAATTGGCACTTTACGTTAGCATAAGTAAGGCCCAACGGGCATGTCTTCTTTCACCGCACTCGCAGTATTTTTATTGTGCTTGAGAATAGTATTTTGACGATTTTAATTCAACGTTGCAATCAAAGCAATAGGAAATCTCAGCGGCATTTCAATACAAACCACAAGTCAGATAGACTTCAAATTTGGAGCTAATCTGTTTCATACTGATATGAAGTACTACTTCCCATAATTTCATCAAAATTGGAGTAATATTGATGAAGTTACGAAAATTCGGGAGCCTTTTCGCCCAAATGTACAACATGACAGACCATAGAAAATACATGTATCGGGTGAATTTCGAGATGTCATAATCTTCGCGCGAATGTATCGCAACAGTTATTGGGATGTTTTGTGGAAATTATCGATATTTTCCATTAGCAACCAATTACTACCATACCGGTAGTATTCATCAACGAGGTCGTCGAATATCGTGAAATCTATTGGCCGAGGCGCCATTTTAGATAGTCGCAATAAATATATTATTTCGGAAGCGCTTTCTCTCCGTGGGAACTGTCATGTGTGAACACGCCTGTACGGTAGTCGGTCACATTCAAGCATGTCGACACACTGCTCACACTCGACTTCCCGTCCTCCTCCCTCGAAACTGAAGCTCACCCAGCATGCGCATTGGACTGCGACCACAGACAACAGTTTCGGCACGATCATCGAGTACCTCCGTCCGTCCATGTTCGGCAGCGACCATGCCGTCGTTGAAATCTCCACTATCAGTGGTTGCCAAGCCTCGAGTACATATCAAGATGTATACTCTCTACCCTTGCAGTCATATTGGTCCGTCATTGGCGAGACATTCCGTCGCGATAGGTGGTGGTAAACTGCTTCATCACTACTTTCTCCTACTGTAAATACGGACTGGTATCACATTGTCGACAAAGACTTCAACAGTGCGAACTCATGCATTAGTCGTTGTGAGTGGGCAATTAATTAATCATTTAACCAACTAAATATGTATAGTTCGAAGGTCATCTCCGTAACTTTATATGATAACTACCATATACCTTATGGATCTGTACCCCCGAAAATGTCAGTAAAATCTGATCGAAATGAATACAACTGACATTTCGTGAATACGTTGGTCTGATTTCTTTCCAATGCACCACTTCTACTACTTCGACTTGTTTGATTGGCTAGAACGAGAAAATTAGTTATTTTTTACCAATATAAAGCGACTTGTGTGCAGCCATCCACGGTACCACCAAATCGTTCTTTATTGACACCAACCAACCATACAGCAATTTGGGTACATGTACAACTCGATAAGGCAAAAGCATGCATACTGATCCATAAGGCATACGGTACCCGGTAGGGTAACACTCAAGGTCGCGTGTTTCATATTGAATTTGGACAGGTGGGGGGTGGCTTTGCTCGACTGTACTTGATGGTCCTTATGGTCATGTGTGCGATGCTGTACAACATGTATTGGACTTGAAGGTGGCTAAATCCTCCCTAACAATTTGTATATACTCGAGGAGGATCGCTACTGTATGCATTGTGGCTGGAAGAAGTCTGTCGTTGAACACTGAATAGCTACATGCATGCATGATGCAATTGTACCGTACAGTGCTGTGTAATTGCATACCGCTTACGCTTTGGGCGCTGTCTTCTTATTGAAGTGATAATACTATTGTCCTTTTCACCTAAATTTGGACCGGCAGTTTATTGGCTACTACTAGTATTAATACGTATTACTATTAATATTAATAGTACTTCAGAGTTATGAATTCGTTTTAGAATTTGGAGTTTCTAGTCCAATCGAAGAGCCAATGAAATTTTTCAATCCAACATTCCAACCAATGGTACTTCAGCGATGTTTGACCCAAAGATATGGCCCGCGAACACTTTATAGCGGTATGTAATTTTTGAGCGTATACAATTGACGGTATTAACAGTAAATTGCGCTTCACTGTCAAGTCGATTTCTCATTAACACACGTCGCTTCGCTTGAGTGCTGGGAATGGCGAACTTCTTTACTATATATCCTATCTATGTTTTAATCTGCCATACGATTCGACTTTCACGACAAGGATGGCTTCCAAAACCACTCAAATAACTTTGCATCATCCGGAACTTGTGATGCATGAAAGTATAAAGCCAGCCGTCGATGAATGCTACTACACCTTTTTGCAGTTAAGTTGGACGAATGCCCGGTATATTTGGTCGTGTGCCCGATATATTAGGCGGTGTGCCCGATATAATTGGCCATGCGCCCGTTAAATTTGGCACCCGGATGTCGTGTGCCCGATATATTTGGCGGTGTGCCCGATATAATTAGCCGTGTGCCCAAGTAATTGGCCATGTGCCCGATGAATTGTGTCGTGTGCCCGATGAAAATGGAAATCACTCAATAAAAAGTCAATTCAATATAGAAATGGTCGTCAAACGACACATGCCACATCGTTGCTGTGACGTCACATACCAACGCCCATGTTGCCCATGGCCTCCGCGCATCCATCGTGGGTGCGTTCCTTGAGGTAAATCGAAAAATGAGCTCTGCGCGCGACAGATTCAAAATTTTTTGGTGGGAGTTGAAGTATGGACAAAACGTTGAAGAATAGGGGCAACAGTATACTTTGTTCAAGTAAAAATATCGACTTCAATGTTCTCTCGAAGTATTCACTGGAATATAATATAC